AAGGAGGCGGAGGGATGAATAGGATGGTCTTGGTCCTGGTCCTGGTCCTGGCCCCCGGACCTCCCCCCTCTCTCCTCCCAAATTTCCCTAATGAATTTTCCCCTCCTGTCGTGCCCTCAGACCTCCTCATCTTTTATGATCCTGAAGCGTTGAGCTTTGCAAGGGTTTTGCGGATGGAGGGCAGGTGGTTTTCAAAATGCGGCCTTGCCTCAGCGTCGCGCACATTCATCGCACAAGTTTGCAACAGTTTCAAGGATGGAGGGCGGGTGGTTTTCAACATGTGGTTCTCGCTTTAGCGCCGCTCGCACTCGCCGTAACAGCTTGTATCGGTTTCAAGGATGAAGGGTGGGCCGTTTTCAAAATGCGATTGTCGCTTTAGCGCCGCGCACGTTTGTCTTTAAGGTTTGCAGCAGTTTCAAGTATGGAGGACGGTTCCTGTTCAAAATGTAGTTCTCGCTTTCGGGCCGCGCAGAGTCCTCTCGAACGCTTGCAGCACTTTCAAGGGTTCGTAGGGTTGAAGTCCCAAGAGTGGAACTCTGGCACGGCTTAGGATTGTCACGACGCAGACAGTCACGTTGATCCCAGGTGCTGACGTCCCAGGAAGGGTGTTCTGACACGATGCAGGGCTGCCAGGAGGCAACCGTCACGCTGATTCGCGGCGTCGGCGTCCCAGGAAGAGTGCTTCGGCACGGCTGCATGGGGATCTTCAGGCGGCCGTCTTTCAAGGGGGCACCTCCCGCAGTGAAAACGAATTCTTGTATAGACCCATGAAAAGACAACTTGGAGGGGGTACTTCTTGCAGAATCTTTGATGCGTCCTTGGTTCACACAGGTCCCGGTGCTTCCCCTCGTCGTCGTCATCCTCCTGCCCCCCTCCCCCCCTCCTGCCAACGTGGCACGGGGGAGGTTCTCGGAGTACGCCTCCGAGTGCAGCGTGGAGCCTGGCCTGCTGGAGCCCCGCCAGAGCTGGCCGCTGTCGGGCCATCGGCGCGTAGAGAGGAGGGGGATGCTGATGTTGATGATGATGATGGTGGTGGTGGTGATGATGATGGTGGTGGTGATGATGATGAGTCGGATTATGATAATAATGATGATGGCGGTGCAGATGATGATTACTATTATGATGCTGCTGCTGATCATGCTGATTATGATTATGATGCTGATGCTAGTGCAGACGATGATGATGATGATGATGATGATGATGAGGCTGATGATATTGATGATGCGGAGTTTGAGGATGATGACGATGATGATGGTGGTGGTGATGATGATGAAGATGATGATGATGATGATGATGATGCAGGTGACGACGATGCTGCTGATGATGCTGATGAACACGACGACGATGTCGATGATGATGCTGATGGTGATGATGCTGATTATGATGATGATGATGATGCATATGCTCATGCTGATGATGCTGATGATACTGACGATGATGATGCTGCTGGTGATGATGATGATGATGATGATGATGGCGATGAGGAAGCTGCTGATCATGAGGATGATGCTGATGTTTGTGATGATGGTGACGATGGCATTGATGCACGTGAAGTCGTGGAGACTGTTGATATTGGTAATGCTGAGGAGGATGATGCTCATGATGCTGATGCAGATGAGGGCAGGATCGAGGTGAATGAGGACGATGAGACACGGGTGCTGGGCTGACGATGATGATTATCATGATGATGGTACTGATAGCACTGAAGATGATGATGCTAATTATGATGATGACGATGACGATGCCGACGACGACGACGACGACGACGATAATGATGATGATGATGATGATGATGATGATGATCATGATGATGATCATGAGCATGATGATGATGATGATGATGATGATGATGATGATGATGATGTTGTTGCTGCTGACGATGATTAGGATGCTGATGAGGGTGATGATGATAATAATACTGAAGATGATGATGCTGATACTGATGATGATGATGATGATGATGATGATGATGATGACGATGATGATGATGATGATGATGATGATGATGATGATGATTATGATGGGGATGTGGGGAACGCCGAAGCACCGTTACTTGTGACGCCTCTTGTCGCGAGGCCTCCAACATTCTGAATCGATGACCTGCCGAGTGCCGCGATATGCACCCTGTGTAGCGATTGTTGGGGAACGCCTCGAACACTTTAGTATTGGGTCTTTGTGAGACCGTCGCAGGACAGAGTGGGTGAATGGAGGACATGGTGATGACGAGGGAACGAGGGATGAGAGGGAAGAGCAGCAGTAGGACGAGGAAGACGACGGACACAGCTTGTGCAGTTCTCTCCAGCCGCCTCGAGGCTGTCGCAGTGCCCTCTTGGGGCGGAGTATTTTAACGATGCTGATGCGGAGGATTGTAATGATGCTGACGATGATAGGAGGAAGAGGAAAGATGTCACCTGGCACGCCACCTGTGACACTTCTTATCCTGAGATCTCCATCAAACCCTGAAGCGGTAACTAACCTCTCGCGTGTCGCCAAATTCACTGTGTGGGGACCCGTCGGGCATGGCCTTGAAGAGCGTCACCCGTGACACATGTCGTCGCCAGGTCATGCGGAGCTCTCGCGCAGTATGTTGAGAGTGGCATCGAGCTGTCCTGGGCTCCTGCAAGGTAATATTTGAATCCTGTGGCATCGGGCTGCATTGGGTTCCTTGGGGCTCTCTTGGGTCGTTCCGGGGCTTTCTTGGGGAGTCTTGGGGCTTTCTTGGTCCGTCTTGGTGCCTCCTTGGTCAGCTGGGGGGTCTCATGGGGCGCTAGCAGGACCTTCTTGGTGTCATTTTG